AACCAACTGGGACTGCGAACTCAACAGGTCCTCTTCCTAATCAGGGACCATTCGTGGGAGTCAATTGACTCAGGTTCTGGAAAATTGAATGACCATTCCTCTACACAAAGAAGTCGGGCAGCTGTCGTCGGCACCCCTCGCGGGCAAGCTCGGCTATGTGGGCTGGAATAGCGTTCTGCTGGAAGGACTACGAGATGTTCCAGAAGACGTAGTCGGATCAGTGCTTCATTACTTCCGTCAGTACGCTGTTTGAGTACTGGTCGTGGTCAATTTTCACGCCTGCACCGAAGAAACCACGAGCGGCTCACCCTTTCCAGTGATTTCCTCGGAAAACATCATTTTACTGTTCTTATAGCAGCCTTTTTGTGAGAGATTGCACGCTAGATGTTTCTTTCTGGAATGCGACTGTTTGGTTGTTGAGGGATGGTTTTATCATCAGAATTTTTTGGCCAGAGAAAACGATGAAGGGTTGCGTGCCATCACCCAAATGGATCTGCGACTTCCTGCATTTTTTGGCTTTGCAGTGTCTGTTGAGATCGGAATTGAATCGAAATTTCTACCTAGAATAGGAATGGCAGTGAAGCTTCTGCATGACATTCTTAAATCGCGATAGCTCCTGTAAGCCGTGCTCGTTGACTTCCTTTTGTTGGGTCTCCCAGGATACCGACCGATTGGTGGACGGACCATTTTGGTAGTCCTATATCCAGAAACTACATTTTTACCTTTCCAGGTTTGTCTCTGATTCAATCAGTCTTCTTTTCTATATCGTTGAATAGCCTCCTATACGGTTATTATAAAAATCCCAAGGAATTTTATAATGCCCTTTCACATCCCGCGTGTCAGTGTTTGCAAGTGGCATTGGATGAGCCTCCTCCATCTGAAAGATGTTGGCAGTTCCACATCAGTAACCATGCATATTGCAAGGAAACCTTCTTATGCAGCTAATTTATAACAGGCAATGTGGATTTGATAAAATATTTCTACCTTAGAAATTTCTGAATTTTAGCGCCAATAATTTTGGAACACCCTGTAATTATGAAATGCACTGTATAGCGAGCCTCAAAGCCCTCTCATTGGGTGCGTCGTAGCTAAGCAAGTGGGCCACCCACGAATGAGTGTGGTGAAGTTTGCTATGTGTGACCATCTGTTTGTAGTGCGCTCACCTCAGATTCTTTGGCTTTTCCCTTAATGTTGCAGAGCTGACTGCACTCTCCTGTCTGAGGCCGTCGGAGTAGAATTGATGAGCAAAACATCACTATCGATAGTCAACTGGTCCAAAATCACTCAGCGAACTCTACAGCGGCACAACTCGTAAACTCCGGGCTCTGTGAAGGCGTAGGGTCGACGTGGAAGAGGAACTGGATCGCAAACTCCGGTGGCACTGTAATCGGTGCCAAGTGAGTGATGGTTCTGATCGTTTCTGTGTAGAAAGTTTTCGTCATGGCGGAAAATGAGTAATTCTGACAGCGGTAATTAGTATTACCACATGTGAAGACTAGGAATCAGTACATTGGGCACTAGAAGGGAAACGCTCGTGGAGACCTTTCTTCTTCAGGCAACGTGAATGTGTATAGCGCTACAGAGACTGGTCTACTTCTTTCGACGGGTACGTCGTGACGCGATCCAAGCGGGATCAGAAGTATGCCATGATGAACGTTCGCTTTATTGCCACTTTTTCATTGCACTCGATTCAGGTTGACATTGTCTCCGTCTAAACATGCCCATCTCTCTCTCTCGATCACTCTTCGACATACTCATATAGCTGTGGGACCCGTTTTCGAGTTCTTTTGTCTACAGGCACAAGGAGATGTGGAGGACAACTGGGAGGGGTCAACTTAGTTCGACGCTTCTGTCGTGAGGCGATCCGAACGGGGATCAGAAGTATGCCATGACTTACATTTTCTACGATGTCCGCTTTTTCATTGCACTCAATTCAGGTTGACACCGCTTCCAACGAAACCGGCCCATTCCCTCTCTCGATGGCTCTTGGATGTGCTCGTCTGACTGCGTAAACCGACTCCGAGTAGTTTCGTCTAAGTTGGTTGGACTACAAGGAGGGGTCAACTTGGTTCGACTCTTTTGTCGTGAGGCGATCCAAACGGGGATCAAAAGTATGCCGTGACCAACAAGCTCCATAATGTCCGCTTTTTCAAATCATTCAATTCAGGTTGACTTCGTCTCCATCTAAACCAGTCCATTCTCTCACTACATAGATGGCTCGACCAATCCGTCCGATCATTTCGACTTCTACTACACCACGATCCAATCAGGGATCTTAAGAGAAATTTTCGCCTTCTCAATGGTGCAGTCTGAACATATGGTGATAAGAAAACCCTGCGGCCAGCGAAAGAAATCGACATGAGACGAGCGAACTGGATGGGAAGAAGTGGCCACCACTCACACGAAAACAGACCCTGCGACTGACTGGGATAACGCTAAGGAGAAGAAGGAAAGAAAGAAGATTAGAGGACGCTAATTGACGGCACCAAAAAACTGATTTGCCGCCAGAAAACTTGGTAAGAAAAATTGCTTCTCCTCATTAGAAGACTTTTTTTAACTCTAGTTTAAGTCAGAATACTAAGTGTACTAGTTTTGAATTTTAGAATGTTTGTAGTGATTCGAAAGGGGATGCTTTAGAGGAAAAAAGTTGTGTGGGAACTGAGATTTGCGATTATTGATTATTATGCTTATTTTTGAGAACTTCGATTCCGCGCGACAGCGAATTGAACGCCGAAAATATCGTAGACTTTTATTTTCTTGGCGAAGCAAAACTGCAAAGTCGAGAGGTGGTCGGTCCTTAAACCTGCATTGAATCGAATGAAAAATGAAGTCAAACTGAAAGCGTCAGGGCAGAGGGCTCAGGATACTAGAAATAAACGGCTTTGCACATGTATGGAATTGATTCATTACCTGAAAGTGAGGTGGACGTAGGAATTCGGAGGAATGAGTTGTTCGTGAATTACGAACCTAGTTCAGGTCGCCGTCGAAACTGCTCGGCAACAAGCAGTTACCTATCCTTTTCATGGGCGATCCAATCGGGGATCGAGGGTATGCTTACCCTTCATTAAATGGCCTTCTTTCGAGTCTTTGCTCCTGACAACATACTCAGATAGGTCATGTCGTTCACTATGGAACCGCTTGCCATCGGTCGTCAGGTCCCTCTTGATATCTTCTGATGCCCATCGAAACCACATCGTGCTGCGAACGTCATGGAAACAATGAAAGGAACGACCGCCCAAAATGAGGTTCAGATTTACACCATCACCATCGTTTGGTCCCATTGGCCGGTCAATGGAAAACTTCCGCTTTTACAGTGTGATGCGAGTTTTTTCAAAGTCAAAGGCTTTCAAAGTCAAAGTGGCTGTTCTGCAACGTCACCCACAAATCAGCATGGCTGACAAGGTGCTGTTATTGGGCAATTACTTGGCGGCGGGGGAATATCCCTCGTCAACGGTTCGGCCTAAGGAGAACGTAAGCATTTGGCTTGCTATTTTACACAAACTTGACAAACTATTTGCCCGCATATTTCAGATGAAGCCCTCATCGTTAAGAAGAGCATCCAGCATGGACGACGCCTTCGATGGATTTTTTGTAGATTTTTGTAGTGTTGGGGTGGCGGGTAGGAATGGGTGCTTTTATAAGCTTGCGTTCTCGGTCATTCTTACTTTTTTGGTATGTAGTCTCTATAGCATCTAACTGCGCTTCAAATCTCTTAGAGCCTAGGTAGAATTCGTTTAAAAAAACAATTCCTGGGTGTTATTCGACAATCCTGATTTGATAACGCAAAATTACTGCCGTTATAATAACAAAATCGCCCAAAAAAAGGTTTTAATGAAGCATTTCGGCAAACAAAATTTCAAAACAAACATTTTGGTAAAATACAACTCCTTCAAAAGATCTATTCTTCCGTTCATGAGTGGATTATGGGTAATTTAAATCAAAAGGATAGGATACTTTTCCCCAATATGGGATCTCTCGGTTTCAATTCTTTTCTTTCCGCCGTAAAAAATTGTGTTTCGTTACTTGATTTTTCGGGAACTTCTGTATTTTACACATTATTTTTATTCTATTTCTTAAGGCTTATGTTGTGGAACTTTTGCCAACCAAAAAGTCGTCCAAAAAACAGTGTAAATTTTTACAAAAACAGTTAAGTTTTGCGTTGTTAGAAATCTGGATTGGTGAATAATGGCCAAGGAATGCGCATAATTTTCTGGGGTGGGGGCTACTCCATTTCAAAAAAAA